GAAGGAAGGAAGGAAGGAAGGAAGGAAGGAAGGAAGGAAGGAAGGAAAAAAGGAAGGAAGGAAAGAGGATTGTTTGGGTTTTTAATCCAATCTGAGCTTGGCTCTTTTCTTGCAGAAGTTTCATTACCCAACTAGGGAATATCAGTACTAGAAAGGAGTGGGGTTTGCAGGGAGGGAGGAAGAAGAGGAAGAGGAGGAGGAGGAGGAGGAGGAGGAGGAGGAGGAGGAGGAGGAGGAGGAGGAGGAGGGGGAGGGGGAGGAGGAGGAGGAAGAAGAGTAGGCAGGTAGATAGATAGATGGGGAGATAGATAGATAGATAGATAGATAGATAGATAGATAGATAGATAGATAGATAGATAGATAGATAGATAGATATGGATGGACAGATGGATAGATAGAAATAGAGAGATATAGAATCATGAACATCATTCCAAAACAAAATTGCTATCACTGAACAACAGTCGCTTACATAAAGAGGGTCACTTCTATTATTTGGGGAGGGGGTGTCATCAATCAAACTGGCCCAGTTGATTCCACTGGGAAAATGCGATCCAGCAGGGCAGAGGGGTGAAATGGAATAGAATAGAATAGAATAGAATAGAATAGAATAGAATAGAATAGAATAGAATAGAAGCAAAGCAAAGCTGGAAGGGACCTTGGAGGTCTTCTAGTCCAGCCCCTGCTCAAGCAGGAGGACCTTTACAATCTCAGACAAGTGACTGTCCAGTCTCTTCTTAAAAACCTCCAGGGATGGAGCACCCACGATTTCTGAAGGCAAGCTATTCCACTGATTAATTGTCCTCAGTGGTGGGATTCAAAAATTTTTACTACCGGGTCTGTGGGCGTGGCTTGGTGGGCGTGGCAGGGGAAGGATGTTGCAAAATCCCCCTTCCCTCCCGAACCCCCTAACCTGCTTTCCTGCTCTGTTCTCCTGTGCAGGGCAACCAAAGGAGAACCAGCCGATCAGCTGGGACTCAATGGCAGGCGGAGAATAGACGGGGTTGGCGGGGCCAGTCAGAGGTGGGATTGGCCGGTTCTCCAAACTACTCAAAATTTCCGCTACCGGTTCTCCAGAACTGGTCCGAACCTGCTGAATACCACCTCTGATTGTCCTCATTGTTAGGAACTTTATCCTTAATTCCAAGTTGCTTCTCTCTTTGATCAGTTTCCAACCATTATTTCGTCCTGCCCTCTGTTGCTTTATAGAATAATTTGACCCCCTCTTCTTTGTGGCAGCCCCTTAAATACTGAAATACCTCTATCATGTCATCCCTAATTCTTCTTTTCTTTAGACTAGCCAGACCCAAAACCTGCAGTCGTTCTTCATATGTTCAGTCTCTAGGCCTTCTATCGTCTTAGCTGCTCTTCTCTGAACTTTTTCCAAAGTCTCAACATCTTTTTTTGTAATATGGTGACCAAAATTGGTTGCAGTATTCCAGGTGTGGTCTTACTAGGGTACTAATACTTCACATGATCTTGATTCTATGCAGGGGTGGGCTTCAAAAATGTTAGCAAAGGGTTGCTTGGTGGGCGTGGCTCTGGTGGGTGTGGCCTAGTCGGCCTCCTGCACCACAGCCCTGGGGTGTTTTTGCCCTCCCTGGGCTCTGGAGGCTCTCTGGAAGCTGGAAATAGGCCTCATTCCCTCCTTCCCAAACTTCCAGGAGGCCCATTTTTCACCCTCTCTAAGCCTCTGTGCATGCCCTGCATTTACCTGCATCCAAAATGGGCTGTGTGGGGACTCCTGTTTGAATCTCACTCATGTAAATATCTCCCTTAGATGTTTTGGCAGTTGTAACTTCAAATATCTATCTACTTGAAAAGTATGTTTGTATTTGTTCAGCCATTTCACGTTACCCACCTTACTAAGGATAACTATATCATTTTATACTTCTATATCCTTAATTATTTGTGCAGCTCTTTTTAAAAATTATTCTCCTGTTATGCAAGAGACAGGAAGGCCACAGCTTCTTACAAAATTTGTTAGTTTGGTGACTACCCATTAAGGACTACTCATCAAGTACAGTTTGTCAGCCAGTTACAAATCCATTTGGTGGTGATGCTATCTATCCCACTTTTTTCTAGTTTAGCAAGAAATAGGTCTTGGTCTACTTTGTCAAATGCCTTGCTGAAGTCTAAATATATTATGTCCACAATATTTCACTAGTCTACTAATTTAGTCACTATGTTGAAGAATGAAATAAGATTGGTTTGGCATGATCTGTTTTTAACAAACCCGTGCTGACTGCTAGTTATTACTTTATTCATTTCTAGATATTGGCAGATCTGGTTTTTTATTATCTTTTCCAGTATCTTCCTGGGTATTGATGTTAGACTGATTGGTCTGTAGTTTCCTGTGTCTGGTTTTTTTCCCTGGGATGGGAACGACATCAGCTCTTTTCTAGTCCTCTGGTAGTTCCCAGGTCCTCCAGGATTTTTGAAAGATGTGGTACAGTGG